ACCATAAAATCCTAAACTATGGTTTACAACTTCGAATACATTGAAATGAACGAATAAGCACTTTAATTACATGGAAAATCCGCTATGGACCTATACATTTCATCTAAGGATGAAGGAATGGTCAAATAGAGTATGACACCCTAATCACGCATTCTAATATGAAAGGGCATTTAGATCAAGCATTGAATGTCATTTAGGCATTTTTTGAAAATGTGCCAACTAACATGTATAATTGTAAAAGAATGGAATGGAACGATACTTGCTTACCAGGACATTTTTGTTTGGTTTTAGGTATACCAACCACAAAGACAAACAAATGCAACCAATGAAGTTTTGACGCCTAAAAGGGTAGGATATGCTAAAGGCTCAAGGTTATCACCTTAATGGATAAGGGATTCCATTCGAATAGGCAATCGGCCCAAAGTAATGGAATATTATTCCATCTCGGTGATCGGTATTGCATTTAAACGATCCCATGAGCAATCGGCTCATAGTTTCGCCTAAACACATATCTCCTAAGGGTAATCCTAAATGTAGCTGGGGTTGGGCCACGGGTGATGTGTGCTAATAGTGTAGTGCTAAAGCAATTTAAAAACATGCATAGTAATTAATGACCAAACAACACTTCTAAAATTCATTCAAACCACATTCAATCCCAATACCATCCTGCAAAACAAGGGTTAGCAAAGACTACACCCCTTATACCACCCGCCTGCAAAACCATTTAACACTATCGTTAGCAGGACGTACCTGGGATCCTTGCAAGCACAAAACACATGCATATCGTTCTATCTAGGCCTAAATCCACTTAGAAAAGGTAAATCCCCAGTGGAGTCGCCAAGCCTGTCGCGCCGCGCTTTTTTTGGACTTTCGGGATTTGCGCGCTAAGGAGGTATTTCCGTGTAAGGGTCTCTCCCAGACCATACCTCACGTGACAGCGGATGGTAATTTCCTATTTGGTCTAAGTTTTGATTTTGGAGTCGCCACTAGTCATTATTGGTAGGTAGACTAGAAACCTAATCAGGGTATGGAAGAAATACCACGATTTTACGAACCAGAGATTCTGAGTACAAGGACTTGGTTACGTTATTGATCCCAAATCGAGATCTCTAACGCCCTTTCAGTACCTAAGAACGATACGATGTCTAACGTGTCATGTAAGTTTCCGAGGCTTACCCACTAATTCTATCCATTCTAATCGTGGGCAAAATCAATCAAGAATTAAATGCGCAATCAATGTCAATCGAATCAATCAATCCTAAATGGTCTCTAAAAATGAAAATCAATCAAAACATCCAAACCCTAATGAAGCCCTAGAAGCTTATTCATTTCATGATTTGCATTTTTTTAGGGTTTTTTAGGGGTTATAACCCCTGAATTTGAGATTTTTTTTAAAATGCCACTTGGGCACTTCCAAAAATTTAAATTTCACTTTTTAAGGTTGGCTACGGTGTTTTTGAACCATTCTGTGAATTTTTGAAATTTTTGATTTTTTTTTTCGGAAATTGAATTTCTGAGAATTTCATTAACCGAGAATTGATTTTTATGATTTTCTGAAAATTTTTATGAATTTTCGATTTTCCAAATTTTTTAGATTTTCTGAATTTCCACATTTTTTATTTGTATTTTTTGAATTTTCTAAATTTTTATGAATTTTCTAAAAATTTTTGAATTTTCTAATTTTTTTTTTGAATTTTTCTGTGAATTTCCTTTTTTTTTCAATTTTTTTCAATTTTCCAAAATTTTTCCTGAATTTTTTTTTTATTTTTTATGAAATTTTTTTCAATTTTTATTTTTTTGGATTTTTTTATTTTTTTTATTTTTTAAAAAAATTCCCGCCGGGAAAATGAACCGGATCGGCTCGGTTTAACTCGGTTCGGCTGAGCCGAACCAGGCGTCGTCAGCGCCGGCCGGAGCTCCAGCGGACACAGCACCGAAACGGTGCCATTTTTTCTCACCTTCATTGTGGCATTTTGTCGAGCACCTAGCGTGCATTAGTTTGCACTAGACATTTTCGAAACTGCCGTTTCAGGCCTATCTCCGACGACCTTCCGGCGACTATTTTGCCGCTCTGATTGGTTCATTGCAAAGTCCACGTGTTCTATTCTTAATCTGACTTACTCAGGACACCGGCGGTCATTCGCCGGCAGGCAAAAAATCCAGTCAAAAAAACTAATTTGCAACCATTCTAGATTAACTCCTCAAAACTTCAAGTTTTGATTCTACTCGCCCTAGCCGTCTAATTCGGTTCTAATCACTAACAAAGCATCAAACAAGGTTGAAGGAGGCTAACTTGACAGGCCTATGGCCATGGTGATGCTCCGCTGACATTGTCCGAGCTCCGGCGAGATTTTCCAGAAATGGCCAACTCGGTTTTAATGCGTTTTCAATCATTCAAAATGCAAACAAATGATGAAAATGAAATCAGCATATGTTTTGAGCATCAATCATAACAAAAACGCGAAGAAATGCACACGATTAAGCTAAAACCTATTCTGGAAAATTTGGCAAACAGTGATCATGAACCAACTTTACCTGCTTCAATGAGGATCAAAATGGAGTTCCCGAGCTAATCAGCGCTCGTGGATGTCTTCTTTGACACTTGATCTCCAAGTTGATGGCTTTGGTCTCGCCGGGAAGGTCCTAGATTGACCGGTCGGAGCTCGATTTTCAGACGGTGACGGTCAACTCGCCACTGGTCACCCGAGGAGGAGATCCTCCCTTGACGGTCGATTCACCAGCATTGTTCAATCGACCGGCGTCGATCACTCGACCTGGGGATCTCCACTCCTCTCTCTCTTTCTCTAGATTTCAAGCTTTTTCCCCCTGTTTCTCTCTCTTCGGCAAATCGTCGAACACCTTCTCTTCTCAATGTTCAGTTTTTTTTTGCTTTTTGTTCACTGATTTTTCCCGCCCAAAGTTCGTTCCAACGACTTCCAATCGGTTGGATCGAACGTCTGGTGCCAGCTGGAGATTCTCCAGCTAGCCAAGTTAATTTTCACGTGCTAAATTGGCTAGAAAAGATCGGCAAAGTACCGGGCTTGAAATGTTTTTCTGGGTTTAGTGCACGTTTTGGTGAATCGGGTAAGGAAGATGAACAACCCGAGTCGGGTTGGGTTGACCCGATTGACCCGGCAAACTCGGGTTGGTCTAAATTCGAAAATTAAGCTCAATTTTGACCCAATTTTCAAAATTAAACCCCAAAATTGTATTCCCCATCACATTTTGAACCCAAATATGTGATTTTTCCCAATATTCGTTAAAATCATGTCCAAGATTTTCACATTTTTGTATTCGGGTTAATAGGGTTTTGTTCAATATGATGTCCTAATGACTTGATTAGGCAAAATTGATGCCAAAATTGAATTACCCACATTTGATTAACCCTAGAAATGATAGTCTCATGGTTCGACAATTTCATATTGGGCACGATTCCCAATTTGGGCTCAAAATTATTAATTTTCAATTGAATTTTGGGGATTTCTGATTTCTTTGACAAATTGTGCAATTGGACCAACCATTATTTAATTCAAGGTCCCAGAATCATTTGTTGTGAAGACATTATGACTTAAAAATGACTAGAAAAGATTTAATTGCATTTTTGGTTCAATTCGGGTTTGATTTTGCCCAATTTTGGGAAAAACATATACCCGATTGAGATTTTTCAAAATTGATGATGTATTAATGAAATTGGATTTGAAAGAAGACTAATGACTATTTTTATGGAATTTTCTGATTCCATTTGCTATTTTTCTTGATTTTCTCACTTATTTTGACTAAAAGAAATTAAGGAAAAATGCAGAAAAATACTAAAAATTTTATTTTTTGGTTTAAAAATAGGTTTCTAGGCTTGGCCAAGATTCGTCGTCTTAATTTTGAGATTTTTGAAAGTATGAAAAAAATGAGTTAAAAATCAGGTGTCAACAATCAACAAATGGGACATTGTTCAATGAGTTGGGTCGGGTCGGGCTTTCATGATATCTAAACCGACCCAAAATACTAAACATACATGCTTGATCCAATCCGAGACAAGACCCAAATATAATATAGACACGCAATCGGATCAGGTCGGGTCGGGTTCATGTTTCAAATAATGAATCCTAGAAATTCTAGATTTTACGCTCTCTTTGCGCATCACCCATACATTCAAGTGGACCGCATCACTCGCGATCGCGGTCTCTCTCTCTCTCTCTCTCTCGTCAGTCACTCTTTAACTTCTCACAAGCATACCACTCGCCTTCTTCCGTCACCGAGTCCCCATCATCTCCTCCACCTTCGCCCGACAAATTCCTCCTCATTCAAAGCCCAGAAAAACCCATGTCGAACCGACCCTCGCCCACCCATAGCCGGCGTGAGACCGGCGCCAGGCCTCCTGCCAAGCCGCAGCAGCGGTTGGTCCCCAAATCGATGCAGAACGAGACCCCCAAGGCCCCCAGCCCCGCCGCCATGCTCTCGAGCTCCCTCTGGGGCCTGCCAACTAAATACGCCTAATAATAGACCGCGATAGCGAAAAACTAAGAATCTCTTCCCCCCATGGACAGGACGACCTCCGGAAGCTCGGCGCCGCTTCAGATCTTGAGCGCGGAGCTAAAGACGAGGGCCGCGATGGTCGCCGCACCGGCAGCGGAGAGGATCGACAGGGAGGCGGGGCCTCGACCTGGGTGGTCGCGGCGAGCACCGTGAGGGCGAGGACGAGCGCCACAACGGCCATGTTTGCAAGCTTCACGGCCGCCATTGCCACAATCTCGAGCTTTGCAAGGGCGACGAGGAGGGGTTGAGAGAGACAGAGAGAGAGATGGAGCTAGGGTTTCCAAGAGCAAGAGTGAGTGAGCAGAGCAACAAAACCCAGAACCAGAAGAGGCGAGAGAGTGAGAGAGATGTGGAAGAGATCTCCCCATCTCAGGGTTTCATTGTTTCGGGTTGGGCTCGGGTAGATCCAAAACAATACCCAAATGTTTTTACTAATATCCAAATAAGTTGAGGCCTAACCCGACCCAATACGAAAATTTTTGGGTCGGGTCGTGTTCGATCGGGTTCTTTTGACAGCCCTACCTTTTGTGTTGATCAAATCTGATTATGCTTGGCATTACAGTCAAGATGGTACTGATCTTGTGGTAAGCTTCAGCTTTGTTTGAGAAGTTACTTATTGCGGTGACTGTTCTTTGATGTGCAAGAAGTGCTCATCCCTAAGCGCAATGGTTTATGTCATTGACTTAACTGGGGCTGTGTTCAGCATTCATTGAAAGCTGGTGATTCCTTGATGATTTGTTTTTGGGGATGAGCGTCATGTCTTGCTCTATTGTTACCCGGTTAACTCCTTGGTTGGAAGTCGTCAAACAATTTAAATGGGCAGATCAGTTGTTCGATTTTTTGAACCTCTTACTAGTCTTTGCTGCCTCATACGAGGCATTGCTGTGACTGTTTTCGGCAAATGTTGACACTATGTTTGTCCCTTCTTGAAAATATTATAAACAAAATGTTGGTTTTTGGATATCAGGACATAGACGGGGTAAAGCCAGTATAAGCGTGTTAGAATGCTCATCAGTTATTATTTTGGGTAATTCTGAGGTTATTGATTAGAAGTTACTTGGCTGCATATATTGTGACGCACTTAATCTCGGAAAGTAGGCGAGAGTTCTTAATAACACATAGTTCATGGATCAGATGTAATAGCACATGGTTAATGGATCGAACATAATGTACATGAAATACTGTACTCAGATATACTTTTTTTTTGTGAGGGATGCATTCTTCATTGTAGTTTATTAGCCTTTGGCAGCCTAGATGGGTCAACTAGATCTCGCATATGCATATTTAGTTTTCCTTTTTCATGTTTGTCGGAACATGCTTTGAATTAAAGTCATGTATTGATTATTGAATTCCTTAATTCTGTCAATAGTGTGCTTATAGATCTTTAATCCTTTGATAATGACCTAGATAACTGTACGTTCTTTGCAACATTTGAAATTGTCAGGTGAAAGGACCTTCTGGTAATCAGATTCAAGATTCTCATGACAAGATCAGTGAGAAATTTGAGTTTATGGCTCACCATAAGGGTGTTCATCCGTTTTGCTTTACCAACAAGTCTCCTTATCATGAAACCATCGACTTTGATGTACATGTTGGCCTTTTTGCATACTACGATCAGCATGCAAAGGACGGTTCTCCGCTTTTTTTCTGTTTTATTGTCTCTTGAAAACTTTATGAATATACCATGTGTAACTCTTTTTTATCTGTTGCGAATGTATCTGCAGAGCATATCAACCCCTCGTTGGAACAGATAGGGAAGTTGGAGGAGGCTCTCTACAACATTCAGTTTGAGCAGCATTGGCTGGAGGCTCAGACTGAGCGTCAAGCAATTGGTAACATATTTTATGTCAAGTCCTCTTGCTATTCCAACCTTGTTTCATCTCGAACGGAAACAACTTTCCTATTTAATGCTAAGGGGACCACCATAGTTTGATTCGACTCCCGTTTTCTCTTAAATTTCGAAGGTTATCACAACGTCTGCTCTTAAAAGACCTTCGGAAGTAAATGTCTCACAAGACAAGTTAAAAGCTATTTCTAGAGCCTTTGACAAGCTCCTTTTATCCATTTGATTGACATAACTAGTCAGTTATTATGTTTATGATCCTGAAAATAATAAAACGTACCTAACTCGGCATTAGCTGAAAAACGGACTTAGAAAACAAAGAAGGCAACAAAAAAGAAGATACGTGTTTGGTCGAGTGGGTTTCAAATGGTCATGGGTTTTGTTTCCATGTGTTATCTGCTTGATGTTTTGAAGTGTCTAATCACCACACGGAATGGAATGGGGATGACCTTGCTAATCAAATATTGTGTTCAATGATGGACATCACATAGATGTCGCATTCAGTAAATACTCATTCTATGATGATTTGTGATCGCAGTGAATGACACAATGAGCAGAAGGGCAGTCCATAAGGCTTTCTTCGAGTCAGCAGCACTTTTTGGGGCAAGTGTTCTCCAAGTTTACCTTCTCCGCCGCCTTTTTGAGAGGAAGCTCGGTATCTCTCGAGTTTAACTTTGATACTGTCAGATGACGCCTAATTAATCATAGAGTTTGGCTACCAACCCCAGTCTTCAATTCTTTTCTTTTAAATATCCATGGAGACATGTATAGACAGGGAAACTGTTTACTTTGTGAAAGGTGATATGATAGATGCATTTGAGGTAAACAACATAATGCGTCAGGCCATGAAGAAATATTGGGGTAGTCTATTAGGTTCCATCGTTAAGTTCATGGCAATTAGAACTTCCTAAGTAGAGAGTGAAGCTCGTATCAAATTGAAGCAAAAGAGACGGAAAAGATGGATAGCCATAGCTTCACAGTTCAGGAGTTGCATTTACCGGGCTTTGAACCTTGGTCTCAATCTTGAGGTCTTTCACCGGCGATGCTTGACAGAAGCAGGTTCAGCACCATTAGCAGGGGTGATATTGGAGCCATGTCATTCATACCGGTCGCAGGATAAAGGAAGAGGAAAAAGCAAAGGGTCCATTGGTCCCACCAATTTGTGGAATTTATCGACTACATCGATGATGTATGGCAAAAAGGTCATAGGCGAAGCCAGTCCGCAACCACAATCAGCCGTTTTGCATCCACGCAATTTTGAGAACTTGCGTTCTTTTTGGAACACATGCACTTAGAGACATTTTTCTTTCATGTCCAACATCGGTCGATACGTGGTAGACTCTTCCCTTTCCATATACAAAGAAGAAGGGGAGCATGTGCATTTCTCCTTTTGCGAACTGGATTACCAATATCTTGAAATCGTCATTTAAACGATCCCTTAGCAGACTCGCGGAGATGACTTTTCCCCGTGTCGAAGAGAGTTAATACCTAAGATTACAATATAAAGAGAAATGAAATACGCATATGACTATGGCTCACGATGTTAGCCCATCCAGAAACATATGTTAGCTTGATGATAGAGGAAACAGTCGTAAGCTCGTATTTATATGCCTTCAACAACAAGCCTTCGACGATGTATAAAAAATAAACTAAACCAAAGGGGAGAAAATAGGCAAAGACATTTCACAGACAGATCCAATTCACAAATACACAAAGCAGATACTTAATAAATTAACGATAGAACTAAGCAGAAGGAGAGAGTGCGAGAGCAAGAGAGAGAGAGAAGCATACTACTGATAGATTATAGTAAGCATAACGAGTCATTATTTTACTCATCCCCACAGACCCCTCATTTACACCACAAGGAGCGATTCCAGCAAGAATAACAATGGCTCTAAACTGTTTGTATCTTCTTCAAGTGAACATTCTGGGGCTGCTTTAGCCTAACGAAGCGCGTCTTTCTCGGAAGCTCCTCGCCGGAGAGCCTCGTCAAGATTCTGCTGGGCTCTGAGTGCAGCAAAACCATTTCTTCTGAGTGCAGCAAAGAATTCACAGTAAGAGAGAGCGAATCAGCAAAAGTTGGGAGTCATGAAAACAAAAACAAAAAATAAGATTCCCAGCACATACAAATGCACAAAATCTTCACCTCACTTCAGTCTCCACACGAAACATAACTATGGAACTATGGATTACATAAGGTGCACAACGCAACTTGTCAAGACAACAATTATAAGCAGAATAATTTCTAAATTTCTTAGACCACATGGTGTATATGTTAAAACATAATACAGAGGAACTCATTATTGAATTAGATTAATGAAGAAATAGCTATATTGAATAAGCTGCACAGTGCGAAGATAAGAACAGTCACAATCAACAATGAAGACCAACAGCACCAAGACCTGGATCTGAAAGAAGTTAAGATGCCTTTAAGCAGTGGCAATTCTGATTCCAAGAAAAGGAATATGACCAGAGAGATTAGTACCTCTCACGATAATGAAAAAAAACAGTAATGATCATTTGATTGAACAATCTCCAGGGTCCATTCACCGTTTCCTTAATTTACGTACATGGTAGGTTGCTTTAATCCCTTAGAGAAATTGGATAGTATGCAAGTATAATTGTTTTTTTTTTTTTTGGTAAGGTAAGATATGCTAGTATAATTGTTTCCTTCTATCTAAAGCTATAATCAGATATGATCCTCAGTTCTATCATATAATTAGGTAGAGAAGTTTGTTTCACCATTCAGGCTCACCGCGAATGGCAACCCAGATTCAGAATAGACTAGATCATCCAAATTCCTAAGCGACAGTACGAGGCTTCACAGTCTAAGTTTGGGTCCTGATTCCAATATTATCCCCATGCCTCATTACCCAAAACCAGCACTAAAAGAATACCTATGGCTAAAAACATACATAACCTAGACTCTTACAGTGCTACGAAACATTATGCAAAACTAACCACAATATATCGGAAAATTAAAAGTCTAACCTGCAATAACTCATCCCGCACTTAATATATGGGGAGATACTGCCTTCGCTGTGTAATAGTTTTTGACTTTGCAAATTCACTCACTGCTTCACCCTTTTTCATGTGCTGTGCAAACTTTGCCTCTTATTTAAAATCTACCTCGCCTCGTTCCCCAACTACAGTAGTATCAGCATCAATCTAGTCTTAGAAAAATCAGCTTTCAGGCAATGGGCATTACTAGAGCAACTTTTATAAAGAAAAAAACAAAACAGAGAGAGAGAACACCGTCATTCAAACTTGCAAAACACATTACCTCGGCTTCTGATTTCTCAACACCAAGAATATCTCCAAGTTTTGAGCCAGCAAGCTGCCAAAAGCGTTGGCGCGATTTATTCATACTCTGTTTTTCATGAATCTCCTTGACCAGAGTAGAACCTTTTCTTGAGATTATAGCCATATCTGGCATCGGATCTTTGAGCGGCATTATAGGCTCAGCTTGCTCAGTAAAACCACTCTTCCATCCAAGAAAGGAGGTTTTGTATCTGAGATATAATACAATAATATCTTAGTCTGTACAGAAAAGAGAGAGAGATTTCCTCCTCCTCCTCCTCCTCCTAGAGAGAGACAGAATTATGTGTTACTTCGGCTAATTGATACGTGTTCCTTCATAATCATTCAACTCATTCACCATAGGATGTTGAAAAGAGTTTGATGATCCATGCACAAAGGAATAACCAATTTATTTACATTTTACTAAACAAATGCCAAGATAAATGTCTCAAATAAGTGTTGAATAAAAAAAGTAAGTTGTACCTGACTCAAAATGGTTCCATGAGATCTATTATAATACTCCGACATCTATACAAAAGAAACCATTAACAATAAATATTACAATGATAACAATAAGATGAAATAACACTAGGATCTAAAATGATTTCATAATAACCACCTGACTAGTGAATGGGGAAATTCCATTCATAATCCCTGGCGGCATGGTGTATTGTGATTGCATCTACATATAATAAATTTGTCATTACTAATTTGTTTTCCAAGATTATTCTCATTCATGTATCTGATAAGTTCACCTATTAAATACCTGACTGGGGAATGGGCAAAATCCACTCATAATCCTCGGCGGTATGATGTATGGTGGTTGCTGCATCCATAAAAAAAAACTGACCAAATTAGTAAAATGTAAATACAAATGAAAAAATAAGAGTGACATACCTATTATGAAATTTTAGATTTACTCTAGGACCACCAATATTGCTAGGATAAAAGGCACTTTGAAATTGATTTGAATTATGCAAATAATCTGGGAAATAAGTTCCATCTTGTGTTGCTTGAATAACCAACTCTACATTACAAAGTAATAAATATGTTATTGGCATCATGTGACATAAGCAATAAATTTAACTAATCATATTAAGTACAATAATATGCCACTCACCTCGACTTTCTATTCGTGTTGGAGGTGCTCATTTCTTAGATTTTTTCTTCTTTTTCTCATTTGAGCTTTTAAGCCTCCCATAACTTATTCCCTTTGCTTTCCTTCAATAGGGGTTCAATGCCGAAATCTCGCACAAAGAAGTCTTATTATCATCATCATCACTAGCATCATCAGTCACAACCATACTCGATTTATATGATAAAAGTTTAGCCTTCGTTTTTTCCATGCCCTCCATCACTATTCTCATAGTATTAGTATCTTCAACTCCCAAACTCATCAGTTCAAAGGATTGATGCATTAACGTGGAAAATCGATTAAATTTAGATGAACTCAGTGCCATTTCATGATATTCATCATTTTACAATCCCTTGTTTGGCACCCTTAGAAATATAGGGTGATGGAACACCTATAACTGATGATTTAGAGGTGGCCACGGTTCGGAACCGACCGGTTCCGGTTCGTGGCCAAGTGTGAACCGGAACCGGAACCGCCTCTGGCGGTTCCGGTTCCGGGCCGGTTCCTATTTTTTTTTCTGTTTTTTTTCTTTTCCTTTTCCTTTTCTTTTTTTTTTCTTCCTCCGCGGCTGGCCATAGCCGGGGCAGGCGCGGAGGTCGCCGGCCTCTAGGCGAGGCGGCCCTCGCCCGGCCTCGCCCGACGCCGGCGAGGTCGAACCTCGCCGGTTGCGAGGCGAGGCCGAGCCTTGCCGGCGTCGGGCGAGGCCGGCCTCGCCCAGCCCGGGCGAGGGCCGGCCTCGCCCGACGCCCGGCGAGGTCGAGCCTCGCCCGGTTGCGAGGCGAGGCCGAGCCTCGCCTCGCCTCGCCGGCGTCGGGCGAGGCCGGCCTCGCCCGGCCCGGGCGAGGCCGCCCTCGCCCGACGCCGGCGAGGGCCCCCTCGCTCGACGCCGGCGACCTCCGCCCCGGCCCCGGCTATGGCCGGCCGGCGGCCGCGGAGGAAGAAAAAAAAATTAAAATATAAATTATAATTTTAAAAAACAGAAACAAGGAAAAAAGACAAAAGAGAAAAAGGAAAAACAGAAAAGGAAAAGGAAAAGAAAAAGAAGAAAAACAGAAAAGGAAAAACAGAAATGAAAATAAAAAAAATTAAAAAAATACTATTATTGTGATAGAACATTATTCAATATAAATTGTGATTAAAATGTAAATTGTACTCAAATTTGGGGACAAAAAGACAAGAGAGAAAGAGAGGGCTTCAACTTAATAAATTATCATTAAGCACATTACAATTCGTTACAACGATCTTAAAAAAAAAGGAGTACAATATATATACCCTAAAATTATCCCAA